CTCCACGTGGTACACCCTGGGCAATGTATACTCATACGGCAAAAAGTCTAATAATCGGCAGTTGACTTCTCACTTCAAACTACCATGACCCCACTCTAAGTCATATTCACTATTTCCACAGTACTCATCGTACATCTTCTCTGCCTTTGCGTCCCTCTCTCTCTCTAACCTCTGAGAATCATTGCTCCGTCCCCCCTCCCCCGAAGACTTTTTTCTCTTTGATGTTCCTCCTCCTCCTCTTTGTGAAGCCCGAAGTCAGCTAAAGGGCTAATGATAACTAACAAAACACCTGCCATTTGAGAAAAGTGAATAACTAAACATCCTCTAATAGAAAAACGCATATGACATCGGCAAATGGGTGGTAAAGAGTCTTACTTAACTTCAATTTTTGTACAAATTATTCATTTCAAATGATTGAGGATCTCATAAAATATTCCTCAAATCAAGGTATCACCATAGCGCAATAAGGCGCGATTGCTAAGTTTGGTTCACTCAAGGTAACGCAAATTAAATGAACTTTCAAAATAAATAATAAATTAAGTGTCCAGTAATTCACTACACAATGAGGCAGATGGATTCAGCATTAGCGTTGTATTAAAGAAGACCATGGAATACCTTCAAAAACATTTTGCCCAAGCACTGAATGTATGAAAAAAGTACATATTTTGTTCACTTTTTTCTGTTTAAAAATCACTGCAAAATATAAGAGCTATACGCCCAGACCCCCGGACGTTTGATCATCTTCGTCCATTGTTGTGAGGCCAGGTAGCTGACTGCACGTCCAATTCTCAGGCCACCAATGACTCGTTCTTTATGATAGACCAAAATATCGAACATCACATTCTGCAGTTGCTCTTTCTGCACGTTGAATGTGAAACGATCGTCCCACACAGGTTCTGATGTTTCACTTCTCACCGATGTCACGTATATTTTCCCTGGCCTTTCAGTTATTACAACCGGTTCGGTTTTAGTATCGTTGATTGAGTTCGGAGTACCGCGAAATTTTGTTCCACCACTGCGAATGGAGGAAATGGCTTCAAGAGGCGACTGCTTCTTGCATATTCGCGTCTTCTTTTGGACACTCACAGTGATTTCCATGAAACTATTGTCAGGTGCTAACATTTGCTTGCCTTTGATTATCTGTAAATAGGGTAAACATGCTCTATTTATTCAGTCCAATTTATAAGCAAGAATGTGGTCAATTATACATTTATATAAAACAGAGTTTGGCACTTTCAAAATTTTATTTACCGCAGGAGAACACATATTGCTGTCTCCTACTAATTATACGTTGAGTATACTTGAGAATCTCATTCTAGCCAAGGATTTGTCTTGATATTATTTGAGGGGACGGGTATTAGATTGCGTGGTAAAAGCAAGTTCTTTAATTACAAATGGAAAGAAACTTATTTTATATAGCATACACAATAAAATCCTGCTCAAGGTAAGTATTTATGAACTTATTCCATTTAGGATGAAGATAAGTGCATATTTAAGAAAAGATATTGACGAAATACAAGAAAACTATTGAATCTTGGACTATTCCAACTGATCACACTCTTTAAATTCTAAAATATACATCACTGTCACCTATGAACGTGAAGTTAACACAAACACCTGAAATCAACGTTTATTTATTTTTAATCTTTTATACCTTGAAATTTCTCTAAGTTTTGAAGCGAATTAAACTATGAAAATGGAGTTGAACTAAAAAAATCAAAGTGGGGCTTTGTTTAGAGGCACTATTTGTCGAGTTGTTTAATTTAAATGTCGCATTTCAAACAAAAAATCATTTGTTAAATTGGTGGAGCCAAATTTTTAAATTCATTCCATGTTTTTAAAATGGCTACATTGCATAATACATTTTACAATTTAACATTCTAAATTTTGCCAATGTTTCGAATAATTTATATTTAATTCATAATAATTTTGTCAGATACTGAGTTTTGTTAACGAAAAATAGCTCTGCGGTAAGATTAGACCCAAATGAAAAAATTAATTGCTACTAAGCCAAAAAGTAGTATATTGCGATATTCAAATTTACTTTTTGAGCCTATTGTAGATACATTTTTCTTCACGTTCTCTGCTTGTTTAAAATGGTAAATTAAATCTGCTTACGCTAAGAGTGGTTTAAAGCGATTGCAAACCCAAGACGTAAAAAATCAAAAAATAATTTCATTAACCGATGTAAAGGAGTAATTTTATTGTTATCCCCATGTTACCATGGAATCTTTGTAAAAGACACCATCAATTTGACCATAAAGATAATCTTCAATAATATGTTAAGTAACTGGGTGGTGTGAAGTCTGTGCGACAGATATACAAGCATTTAACTTGAGAGAAAAGGTAATTTGATTTTCTTAGAGCATGGGGAAGCAAGGCTGTCCTAAATCCTTGCCCATTAGTTCAAATATTCTCGAAATGCCATAAAAAAACAATCCGTCTTTCCACAATTTTGTTTTATTTCTTAATTGTTAATAGTTAAACGCTGTGTTATTAGACAAGGCAAATACTAAGCCGTTAGAACACGAGGCAATATAGTTTTTTTAGATCTTTCCAGCTCGTCATACTTATAAAAATTAGTAGTAGTTTAGAAGAAAAGTGTTCCTAATTTTCATTATGGGAAGGTTTTAACATGGAAAAAACCAGTGATGAAGTGCAAAAGGTTCTTCAGAAGTAAAAAATTAAAACAGGGATTTAGAAAGATCCCACTTTACATGAGTTTTGGATTATTTTAGCTATCATGGAATAAATCATGACCTGATCTTTGAACACTCCATGGTTCAATTTCCAGAACTTGACTCTTAAATCTTTTGGTGCACTCATTTCTGTAACTGAATAAGTTGAGCCTTCGTTGGTTTAATTTTGACAGATGGTATCAATATTACATTTCTTTTGGCCTATTTCTTTAGCAATGAATTCAAAAATGTGCTTTGGAGTCCTTAAAATTGAAAGCGTTCCCTTTAACAAACCGAATTTAAAACAAAACACTACTGATAGGGGGAAAAGGAATATGCTACGAGTTACAATTAGTTGGATTAACAATTTCATCATATTAAAGCACAAATACACTTCGAATATTTAAATAACCCCCCCCCCCAATAAAAATAGAGTGTGCATTCTGTAAAAGTTTGTTTAAGTGATTTTGAGATAAGTATTTACTTACTCCATTTTTGCAAAACTCAAGGTCATTTTATAATGATCATGCTTAAAATATCTCAATCAGGTAAAGGTTTCTCTGAAATAACATAAAACGACCGATTTATTATGTGAAATGAATAACCAAAATCCTCAAAAAACTACTGGAAGTCATTGTCGAGTAATATGTCTTCTATATTTAGTAGTTTTACCTGTCCCAGTTCTTAGAATTGTAAAAATTTTAAACATTTTTGTACCCCAATTTGACTTACTGAAACAGTGATCTTTCCTAAATTTGGATCGTGAATTAAACCGATCTCAAGAATTCCATAAAATGGTCGAATGCTAGGTATTCGGTTAATGTAATACCATCCTTCTAGCTGACGAATTGTGAAGGGTCTTTCATTTTCCGGCAATTCTTCCTCAGAATCATCTTCATCATTTCCATTTTCTTCTTTTTGCTTCGCCGATTCACTCTAGTTAGTAAAAAAAGGAATAAATATACTTTCTTTTCATTTCTTATAATGATATTAAATAACAAGTTAAGAAATAATTTATTTTTCAATTAAATTCATTTGATCTACGTTAATTTATTATTTTAGTAACCTAATTAATGAGAATTATAAATCGTTATCTTTTTAAATAATTTTAAAAGTCTCTTAACTGATACAATAGGCATTTATAAACATGCAGCTGTTTTTGTGCTTTCGTTTTTTTGCAGTTCACTATTATATATCTAAAAGTAACACGCTTTGTACATTATTTTAAGTTTCATTTTCATTCTCGTCTCATATTTTCACTTCTAAGTTTATATATTCTTCTTGTTAAGAGAAAGGAATTTTCTTCCCATTAGCCTTTAAGAAGATCACCACCTATATAAAGAGTAATCTTAAGCAAACAGTTCAATTCTCGAATTCGATTTATTAAGGAGAGGGGTGTGCGATAGACTTACCTCCACGTGGTGCACCTTGGGCAACGTATACTCATACGGCAAAAAAGTCTATTAACCGGCAGTTGACTTCTGACTTTAAATTACAATGACCCTACTGTATGCCATATTCGACCCCTTCTACAGTACTTACCTTACCTTTTCTATGCTTTTGTGTCTGTTTGTCTCTTTTTCATCTGTGAATCGCTCTTCTGTTCTCCACCCATCGCCTTTTCCGTGAAGCCCGAAGTCAACTAAAGGACTAATGATAACTATCAAAACGCCTGCCATTTGAAATAAATAAATAAATTTATTAAGGAGATCATAGCTCCCCTTTCCTCAATATGGGGTCGAAAACAGTACTTAATGAAATATAAACCTCTTTCGAAGTATGCAAGCTTAACGTACTTAAACTAGTTCTATTTTCTTTGCTATTTGTTTAATTACTATCATGGAATAAACCTACA